TAATCCATTAATACCTAATTAACAACAAATGTTTGTGCACAGAGCTCTGGTACTTCCTTGGACTTGTCCCAACAGCCCATCCCCAGACATCACTGTGTCTCTCTCCTGGGAGAGGTCCGCGTGCAGTGCTTCCGTGTCCTCCCCTTATGTTATTACTCTTCCTCAGCAATCTGGCTTCTGTACTTTCAGTTTGTTCAACAGATGTGATTTAGCCTTTTTATTTTCCAGGCACTCTGGGTTCTGTTGTGGGTGCTGATAGTAGCAGTGAGTAAAACAGACCAACACCTGTTTTCACAAACATTCTCATAGGGACGGAGTGACAGAATAGACAGACAAAACAGTATGCAGTGTGTGTACGTACAGATGGTCCCAACTTAGCAATGGTTCAACTTAGATTTTTCAACTTCACAATGGGTTTATGAGGATGTAACCCCATCTTAAGTTGAGGAGCATCTGTACTGTAATAAAAACTGGAGTGACAGTGAGGGCTGCTTTTTTGCCCAGGATCAGTGAATGCCTCTTGAGCCGGTGACATTGGAGCATGTACTAAATGAAGTACGGGCATGAGCCATGAAGGAGCCAGGGAAGATCACTTCAGGCAAAGCAAGCAGAGGTGAAGAGGCCCAGGGCAGAGACACTCAGTTGATGCTCAGTGATCGTGGTTCTGACTTATAGATCCTTCCCAGACCTCATCTTAGTTGACATCTGCCACCTGTAATTCTGCTCATCACCTCCTGCTGGAATACCTTCTCTTCTCTTGTTTTTAGGGCACTGTTCAGTCTTTCCCACTAATTTTATAGCTTTCCCTTCTCTTGATCCTGTGTTGGCTCCCCTTCCTGTGGTCTGGGGATTTCACCATTGGTTTTATTTTGTACTAAATGTTTCTACACTCCCTGGGATCTCTTCTGTACCCCACAGCTTCAACAACAACCTACAGACAGATGGCTCCCAAAAGAGATCTCAAGCCCACATATTGCTCTTGACCTTTTTCTTACAAAACTAACACATGCTCAGTATAAATATATACAAAAAAAAAAAACAACCCAAAAAACGGTATATGAAGTCAAAATGAAAGCTTCTTCTCAGCCTATTGAGAGAGCCACTTACAACAGTCCAATATGTAAACAGCCAGATATTTTGTTAGACACAAACATCCATCCATCTGTTAATCCATCCGCTCATTTTAATACACTCTATGAAGTGTTTTTATCTATTTACTTTGCTAGGGCTGCTGGAACGAAGTAGTACAGAGTGGCTCGAACAACAGAAATTTATTGTCTCTTCAGTTCTGGAGGCTGCAAATTTGAGATCAAGGTGTTAGCAGGTTGGTCCTTCTGAGGGTTGTGAGGAAGGGTCTGTTCCATGCTTTTCTTCCAGCTTCTGGTGGTCTGCTGTCAGTCTGTGACATTTCTTGCCTTGTAGATTGTTTTAGTCTGTTTTGTGTTGCTATAACAGAAATACCTGAGACTGGGTAATTTATAAANAGGTTTATTTGGCTTATGATTCTGGGACAGCTGCATCTGGCATGGGCCTCAGACTGCTTCTTCTGATGGTGGAAAAGTGGCAGGCAGCCGGCAGGTACAAGCAGATCACATGTTGAGAGGAAGCAAGAGAGAGAGAGAAGTTGCCAGGGTCTTTTAAACAACAAGCTCTTGCGGGAACTAATAGAGCAAGAACTCACTGATTAATCCCCTCCCCCAGGGAGAGCATGAATCCGTTCATGAGGGATCCGCCCCCATGACTCAGTTTCCAACACTGCCACATTGGGGATTAAATTTCCACGTGAGTTTTGGAGGGGACAACACATCCAAACTCCATCATAGATGCATTACCTTGATCATTGCCTGCGTTTCTCCATGGCATTCTCCCTGTGTATGTGTGTGTCTGTCTCTGTGTCCATGTTCCCCTTTTGACAGGGACACAGTTGATATTGGATTAGGGCCCTAATGACCTCATCTTAACTACTTACATCTGCAATTGTTGGTATTTCCAAATAAGGTCAAATTCTGAAGTACTGGGGCTAGGACTTCAACAGGGCAAGACACAATTCAACCTATAACAATTGTCTATATATTGAAACTGGCATTATAATAGAAATACTTTTCTTTGATTTGCTTTTTTCATTTATAATGGATAAATTTCCATGCTGATTGTGTGATTCCATTTTCTATCTCTTATAACAGAATACCTGAAAGTGGGCAATGTATAAAGAAATGAAATTTATTTCTTATAGTTTGGGGG